GAAACGTGGTTTTGGGAAAATTGATGAAATTTTTTAGATTTGGTCTGTTTTTGCTCACTGGTTGCTGTAACATCATCCATATACTTAGAGCAACATCCATTTTTGGAATGCTGTGAAACTGTTCTATACTTGCATTTGAATTGGGCTATTTACAGGTAGTATATCAAACAATATCAACAATGCAAAATATTTGTAAGAAAATCAAAACAAGGGGAAAAGAAGAGAAAAGTTTGGATGAATGAGAAGCTAAGATAATGGCTGCCTGATAAAATTTGTTAAGTTCTAATTTCAACCAAATCATCATCACTTCCAAGACGAGAGTGAAAATAATTAAAAGGAAAATGTACAAGTAGAAATAATACTCTCTCGACGTTGGGGAAAATTGACGGATGCTGCTCAGATTGCGAGTTGAACGAACAATTTACTGAGCAAAAATGAAATTAGATCACAGGGGAAAGCAAATTAACAGATTCCAGAAGTATTTTGTATTGGCTAAATTTCATTCTAAAGTTGACCCAACCAAGGAACCAGCCCTAATTTCTCATAAGAACCGAATTGGGAGGCAAAGAGAAGAGAAAAGCGCGTAAAATGAAGCGGAATGAGATAACAATTGAATGGAAAGTTAGAGAAGAAAACCGTACAGGCGCCGCGTAAATGGTGGGGAGCGGAAGACGTTGGCCGAGGAAGGAATTGGAAGAGAGCGAAAGAGAGGTCATGGAGCTCTGAAGCGCAGCCATGGCTGCCATTTTTGCTGCTGCTGCTGCTTGCGAGATGGTGGCTGTTCTCCAATTTACAGGCTACAAATGGATAATGCAAACTGCAAAAATAGCAAACCGGATTCTAGGTGTTGGCTCGCTGGAGGGTTGAGCTTTAAACGGTGACGTATTCATCCTTAATTCCATTCCAAATCACTTTCGGTCGTTCTAGTTTTGTTGAAATAAATGATTTTAGTTTTTTAACTTTTACACGATTTAGTTTATGTATTTTTTAAATTTGTACCATTTAACTTTTATTGTGAAAAATTATGAGTACGTCATGGTTTTAAATGTTCGTCGATATTTCCATCTACATACCCATGTTTTCACGAGTTCAACATCAACATGAGGGGTAAATCGACATTTTTATTATAGTACAAGAAAATCGACAAAATACAAAAAAAATATCAACAAAATATCACTAATATATACATAATATTAAGATTAATTATTTTTAACTAATTAAAAAATAGAAAAATGTTTATTTGTTCATTTAAATATTTTTTATGATTTTTTTAATTTTTCTAACTTTTACAGAAATATCCATCGATATCGACATTTTATCAATATTTCCATCAATATGAAATTATACCTAATATTTCTATCAACATCAACGTTTTAAACCTTTGAGTACATTGATAAAATGACAAAAGAGTACATGTGTTTATAAACTATAAAGCCTAACTTACATAGTGAAAATTGACCATTAATTTTGTTGAAAATTTTCACTTAAATACTAAGTTGTTACCTATTAAATGTGCAGGACTAAATCGTTACGTAAATGACCTATAAAGGATTTTTTTTAACTTTTTAATATTACCTCACAAATACTCACAACTATAACGTTTTAAAACAATAGAGTAGTGTACCAATCTCACCCAAAAGTCTAGTACAACTTAAAAGTTTTTGCAGCCATAGAAAATTATAGATGTTTACCTACATACTTGCAAAATTTATTCTTTCTACACTATTATTTTTAAATATGACAAAATTATTTACACCTTTTCCAATAAATAAGTTAAAAGCTCAAGTCAGGGGTTTTTTTGAAAAATACATTTTTGATAGTGTTTATTTGATCCCTAAAGTTTCAACATAAATACTTTTGATCCATAAAATTTAGCGTGATCATTTGACCGTTAGTTGACCGTTTAGAGCTATTTTTCAAACTTTAAGACAAGAAATGTCTATTTTGAAAACTAAATAGACACTTACACCAAACCTTAAGATCATGTTTTGAAACTTTAAAGATCAAATAGACATCTAAGACAAAAAATGTATTTTTCCTTTTATTCTTTTCTTTCTTTGAAGCAAGGCGAGGGATGTTGTTGAACTGTGCTCTTGCTATGATATATTATTTTAGTCTAAAATTAATTTGTTTTATTAGATTTCTAAAGTTAGATTTGTTCAATGTATTACTGATTAAAAAAATTTATCTTTTACTTATTTAACAATTCTTCTAATTTTTTTACACTACAATAACTTAAATTCGTCTAATATTTAATTTTTTAGCAAATAAGGGAATGCAGGAAACGAGCCTTCTTTCCTCAGTTCTCAATTCTGATGCATCAATATACAAATACTTTTCGGTTAGGGAAAAAAAACAATTTAAAAAGGAAAAAAAAAAAAGGATGGATCGACTATGTTACATGAAATTTTGGGGGCTGGAGCAGAAGTTTTGGTGCACAACCTTGTTAACTTCTGCCTACTTTTTTGTCCTTTCTGGTATGTTGGGTTGAGAAAAAGCCAGTCAAGACTACGAGAATCAAAGAAATGAAAAACTATATGAACGGCGAAAGAAAGAACCATTTTCTAAACTTCACATGAATCTGCTGTACTATCCATGGACTGTTGCCTTCTGAGTTCAGGCATTGGACTACTCCTGGCTTCCGCTGGATCAACATCAATGGCGACTTCATCCGTTGTTGTCGACACCGTGTTTCGGTTATGTTTGGTGTTCTGCCTTTGTTTCAAAATCCGCGACAAGACTTGTACATTGTCTCTCATGGAAGGTCGCTTTTTCGGGACACGGTTAACGCATTTGTATGCGAGTGCTGCTACTTCATTCAGCTCTTGAGCACCGAAATTTCCATCGAGACGGGAATCGACAAGTTCTTCCCACCCAACTTTCCCATCAGAATTCATAGCAGCCTAACCAAACCATCATCAAGGGAACAGAAAAATGGTGGTTTTAGATAAAGGGTGTGTGAGAGATACTAGTTCAAAAACAGTGCAAGAATTCCGAGGAATAGAGCTTTTTGGTTCACTTAAAGACAGAGAGATAGAGGTGTCTTACAAGCTCAACGTATTCCATAAGGCCCTGTTGAGGATTTCTTCCAGCTATAAGCTCGAAAAGTAATACTCCGAAACTGTAAACGTCGCTTTTCTTATTGAAAGTCCTTGAAGATATATACTCAGGATCAAGATAACCAAAAGTTCCTCTGATGTTAGCTGCATGACTGTCTACCATCTCTTCTCTTGAAAGCCCAAAATCAGCAACCTGCAGCTTGATCATTATAATAACTCAGATGCAACCAAAGCAAACTTACTGATGCATAAAACATTGTTTTGGAAAATCCTAGATCTACATAAAAGCAAGAGCACTTAGATGAAAACTATAACAAATGTTGCCTAGATTCTTATTGCAGCAACATGGTCGTAACTAGAAAGAACGTACCCTTGCTCTCATGGACTGATCCAACAAAATGTTGGCTGATTTGATATCCCGGTGAATTACTGAAGGAACTGCCTGAAGTAAAATTTGAAGCATCGTTATTACTAATAGGTAAAAACATTCATGTTTCCCAAAATGTGCGTGTGTTCATGATTTGCCTGATTACCAAGGAGAAAAGAAAATTACCCCATCATGGAGATACTCCAAACCCCTTGCTACCTCTAAAGCTATACGAACTCTCATACTCCAACTTAATAGTCCATTCTTATCACCTATACAGAAACAAAAGAAAGTCATTTTCCACTGTAGATATTTATACGGAGCTTGTGTGAGATATTTTTCTTTTTCTTTCTGAATTTGTAAATATGATACTGTTCATCAACTCCAACTTCGAATAGATGATATTACAAAAATTAGATTCGTTAATAGTGACAACATAGACAGTTTCTAGTCAATCAACGACACTGTTAGTTTCACAGATTAGAGGGATAGTCAGCTTACCATACAAGTGAGAAGCTAGGCTGCCTTTACTCATGTAGACATACACAAGCATATGCTCGCCTTTTTCAGCACAGTATCCAACCAAATTCACGAGGTTCCTATGGTGCAATCTTCCCAATAACATCACCTGGATGATTTACAGGGAAATACCATTAATGGACAGTAAACGTAGGATGAGAGTCTGACAATTAGAAGAAAAAATACAAGGGGAAAAAAAACTTTAAGCTTCTGAGGAGGGGGAAACAAGCAAAAATATAGGTGTAACTAAATGTTACACTAAATTATTTCGTTGTATTTCAAGCTCCAAGCTTTAAATCTGAGTTCCATACTAGATGTGTGGAGAGTGAGGGTAGAATGAGTGGTTTTGAAAAAAGAGATTTAAGAATAATTGATATTCCAAAATCACCATCCAAGTGATACCTTAAAAATGATTTTGACAATGCCAAAAGTAATTTTGGCCATACCAAAATCACTCCCAAACACACTCTAAGTTTAGAACGATTTCATCCATTCCTAACTCATTGCATATAGCTGGCTGTTATATTTTTGTATTTTATTTTCTTTGAAGTAACAACAGGTAATCATCAATTATATCCAAAAGTGGAGTAACGGAAACGGGAAAAGTACTATAAGGCCATAACCTCGGACTAGCAAACCAGGAATATTTCTAGTGAGGGACATTTGCTCACTGAAGTTCGAGAAACAACTGAAAACCTTTTTTGTGAACTATTGTATCATATTCTAAGCAAGGTGCCGAAATTAATAGTTCACCATCCTTACCTCTGTCTGGAATTCTTTCTCTCCTTGTTTAGAATTGGTTGCCAGCACCTTAACAGCAACAGTCTCACCAGATTGCAATGTAGCTTTATAAACAGGACCAAATGCCCCTTGTCCTATTACACTCGTAAAATTGCCGGTTGCTTTTTGCAGATCTCTGCGAGCACATACAAACTAAACAATTTAGTAACACATTAAATTACAATTCTTTTTGCAACAATTAAATTACAATTGCATTCTTTTTTCTCGGTCAATAGTAATCTTGGATATGGGCTAACAACATAATACATTACAAATGTGCCAAGGGAGCCGATGGAAAGAAGTTTCAAAAATTAAAAATTCTGACAACTAATCTTTAGAGAGCCCTGAAAATCTAGAGAAGAAAAAAAGTATCGGGAGAGTTTCTGCAACCAAAGCACCCGGTAGAAAGTAACGACATACCAAAATGAATTTCTAAGACAGGGATCATTTATCTCTCTATATCGAATAGTTTTAGCTGAATCACGATCTCATCCAAAGTAAATAGTAGAGATGGGTTTCATAAGAAGACGTACTTGAAAGAATATTCGGGAATCCCAGATGCCGAGATCACACTGCTTCTCTTGAATCCATCAAGCCATGAGGACATACCAGTCCGGCTGAACACCGGTGATTCTGGACCAACTGTTGAGTCTGATAGAATAGTACAAGAATCAGCTCCGTTTGTTCGAATTGGAACATTAGCTGCTCTCCTCGAACTGCTAATACCAATCTGCAACCGCTTCCTATGGTATCTAAAGCAGAATAGCGCTAAAATTGCCAAAAGAACTCCAATCACCACTCCTATCGAAATCCCAATTGCCAATCCAGTTGACTCCTCTTTCATCTCCTCTTCCGTGCTTCCCAAGTTCCTATTCAGTTGTCAAAACCTCGCTCGACTGCAAAATGGCTTCGGAAACCTTGAACTAATCTGGTCAGCTGCATCATTCACATTTTACTGGAATATAAATTACAAATGATGTCAGAAACCAAGAGGACCGTTCTCTACTCTTCCCCATCCAGCCATAAGTAAAGTCAAACCGCAGGAATAAAAATATGCAGGAAAGCGATAAAATTCCAGCATAAAAGTATTATTCTAAAGAAAAATGTATTCAAACTCCCGCCCCCAAGAGCCCTCCAGTACCAATCAGCAGACATCTTAGCCCAAATACTTCTAAATAATTCAGCCATAAAACTCCTCCGATCCAACTCCACCGCTCTAAAATTAGCGTCTGTGAGAATTTTATTCAGAAACATCACAATTACAAATAAATTTAGCTTAAATGGATCAAGGCGCAGGAAAAGTAAGTATATACTATTCATATTTGATTGAACGTTTGATACAGCTAAGAATAATCAATCTCCACTCTCCACTAGTAGGCATTAGTAAACTCCTTACAGTCTGATGCTACAAATCGCCTATTCAGATACAAGATAAAAGAATAACAGAATCAAAATCCAGCAAATCCGAGACTTAAACAGTTGTACCAACACGAAATCAAGCCTAAAGCAAGAATTTCGAATCGAATAAGTAAACTCCATTAGTTTCTCCTACTTTTTCCCATCCATTTTACTTTGTCATCCAAAAATCAACCGAAAAAAGTCCCAGAGCATCATATTATAGACGAAAAATAGAATAGAAAAACAAAACCAAGGCAGTTGAGGCAGAAAACACAAGCAAATGAAACAAACAGAAGCAGAAACTCTCTAAGCCATGGAAAACACATTACGTCCCGCAGAAATCCGACGGCAACGTACCTAGCAAGACGACGATCACTAAAAACTACATCGGTACAGCGGCGCGTGGTTGAGGAAGAGAAACGGAAACTGAATGAATAGTTGCCAGAGAAGCGGAATGAAGATGGAAAGTATTATTCCTGCGAGATTCGAAGAATGTGAAGAAGAGAAAAAGGAATCAAAGTGCAGCGAACAAAATCTGTACTTACAGCTCCATTTTGGGAAGAATTTGAGAAAGAAAATAATACAAATTCATGAGTAGTGACAGAGAGAGAGAGAAGGGACCCGGCGGTCGCCAATGCCATTGCTTTTGTTTGAAACGGAACGCGGCATTCGTGGTCAAGCCGTATTAGCCGATCAACTTTTTTGTGCTTTTAATTTTTTTAATCATTAATAAATATTTTTAAAAAATACTTTTTCTTGCTAAAGTTTGTTTTTGTTTTTAATTTATTAATTACAGTTTTAATTTTTAATTTTATTTCTTAAAATATATATTTGGATAACTTTGGAAATGATGCAGTCTCTGTATTTTAATATTTTTAAATAAATTTCTAAATTTTTTAGATTTGGGCTATTTGATCTCTACCCTGCTTTTAATTTTTAGGCCTCATTTATGTTGTTGATGTTAAATTCTGTCGAGTTTCGAAGTTTTGACTTCCAACGAACTCGAAGGAGCTGCAAAGGAGCAAGTTGCATGAGGAGAGACCTTCGTACTCGATCAAGTAAGGTTTAAAGCTCACTCAACCAACATGAGGATACTAATCTCAGGACTAATAATTTGTAATCGCCTCAACTTTGAATCACCATAGAGGACTTGCTCCCCTCCCCCACCCTACCTATAAAAGGGACATCATTTTTTCGACTCAGGACATTATTTTATCAAGACCGACCTACTAAACTCGAACCCTTACTTGAGCTTCTTGGAGTGCTTGTTCCCACTATGCAGGTCTCTAATCGCTCAGCTCGCTCCTCCGTAACTCGTCCAAAAAAAAAAATCTGATCTTCGAAACTTGACAAAATTCAGCATCAACATATGTTAACTTTGTACGTTTGAGAATTATACCTAACGTGCAATCTTTAAACAATATAATTAGTAGTACAAAAGTATTAAATTGACAAAGTTAACCCTAGGAACTTAAAGAAAAAATCTTGAATTTAAAATAATAGTAATTATTGTTATAAATCTAAAGGAGCTACCCGGTTATTGCTTTTTCTCTCTTGATCTAAAATTAAAAGAAATTAACCCCTATCTTCAAGAAATTAAATAAAAAATTGAACTAAAAAAGAAAAAACTAAAAATATAACCCCTTTTACCTACATTTTATGAGAAAAATGCGTTAAATTATTTTAGTAAGATTTTCTTTTAACAGATTTATACGTAATATATTATTTTTCTGATAAAGAAAACAATAATACTGTATAATAGAATATGAGTGTAAACAGGTGGGGTTGGGTTGAGTTTTCTCTCTTTTTTATTTTTTTATTCTTATTTATTTGTTTGTCAAAATTGACATCTGACTAGTAGTTGAAGAAAAATTGAACGTATATGTCAAAATAAAAATTTAAATAGACCGAATCAATTGCCTGATCAAACTGATTACATGACTACAAAATCAACCAAAATAAAATAGACTTAAATATTTCAATTTTTAAATATTAAGAAATTTAACCGATATCGAAGCCAACTTATTCGTTAAATTAGTTTGATTTTTTTTTTTAATTTAAATTTCCGCTTGAACTCCTAATATTTTTTCTTTTCAAATGGAGATTTGAACTCACGATCCATCTTGTGATTGGAGCAACACAGTAGTTATACCAATTCTTATAAACATTTTTATTCATCACTTCAAACCAAACATTTAATAATCGATGAAGATGACAATTATAGCATTAAAAATCTTGAATGCAAAGAATAGTATAGTCTAATAAAATTGATTTGTTCAGTCCATCATTCATTCAATGCATATAAATTTGATCTTTATGTTTTGGATTCACATAGTTAGGTCAAAATCATATCACTTTTTCTATAATTTTTCTTCCATTTTGTTAGGGATATTCCTTATTTACCCTTTCATATACTATCAAATCATTCAAAATGGAATGCTCTGAAGTGGTTGAAATGGTTAAATGGGTATAAAATAAAAACAATTCAATCCAACTACAGTTACTAATTTAATTTGATTTGTCCCCTGTGTTCAAGTGAGAATAATAAATTAAGGAGTAGATGAAAGGGTAAAATTGACTTTTCATTAATATTATGAATAAAAAAGAAGCATGATGGCATTGGCCAATTGAAATTCTTAATGCACCTATCATTACCAGGGATTTTTAATCTCAATTTTACCCCTTCTCTTTAGTCTTTGTCAACCCTCTTCCAAGAAGAACTTGCAAATACATTTTTTTTTTAGTTCAATATTAAGAAAGATAAAAGACACCAACTTTATGTTTAGATATGACAAATACATTCCTCCTCTAAAACTAAAATTGGCAGGTAAATTACACTCCTGAGTCATGATTATGAAATATATTTTATATGTATTATTTTTTGTTTTTTCTTGCATCCCTGTAATAAGGATAAAGGCGAAATGTCTATATAATTTTGGAAATATTTTTAAAATAAGGAATGAAAAATAGAAAAATTCTTATATTTCCAAAAAATAGAAACAAGAAAGGAGAAACATGAACACAATTTAATTATTATATGTTCTAGAAAAGATAGAAATAAAAATCGGAAACTTGAAACATAAACATTATTAAAACCTAACATCTAATTTATTGTTATTATTTCTAACTTTTATGAAAGACAACTAGTGGCATTATTTTATATTTTTTACTTATAAATGTCAAAAAGTTAAATAACATAAATTTTTAATACTTTACTTTAAAATTAAATTTTCATGTAAAAATTATGTTTTTTTAATTTAATATTTGATAGGACAAAAAAAAACTTTCAAACATATTAACGTTTCTTTTTTCAATAAAATAAATAGAAAAAAAAACAAGAACCAATTACTAGAACTTTTTTAAGAATAAGAAAACAATAAACAAAAAATAAGAAACCCCAAAACTTAGGACACGTTTGGTAACGTCCCCGTTTTTTTTTCTCGTTTTCAATGTTATTAACAGATATAAGCATTTGACAACTATTTATATTTAATTTTTGTTTATATTTCTTTTAGAAACATTCTAAAAAATTTATAGAAATGTGGAAGCAACGACAAGTTTCTTGTTTATTGTCCCGTTTTAAATTTATTCCAAAACATAAATTAAAACATTATTTTATAATTTTTGGATCCATGCATATCATATTTTCATTTGAAGATAAAAAAATAATTAAATTGTTATCACTATTTCAAATTGTGTGATTTAAAAATAATTTCTTATACTTTCTTAATTCCAAACCGATATTTTCAAACAACCTTAATTTTTCACACTACTAATAAATAAACATAATAAGGTTGGTAAGTTTAGCATTACTAGTTTTTTCATAGTCTCTTTTGCTGATTGGATTTTTATATTCAAAATGAGTTATAGTTGTTCTAAATTAGCTCCATTAATTATCTTTAAAAAGAAAGCTCCAACAATGTTATATTTTGTTATTGCAATATAAAAATCTATCTGTTAACTTAAAGTTAACCACTTTTCTTTTTTTTTTTAAGATGAATAATTTCAAAATTACTCATAAAAGAATTTTTTTTAACTATTGTTATTTAAATACCGATAAATAAACAAAATATTTCTTTAAGAAAATATACTGATTTAATTAAAATTTTTAAAATTTTGATTGATAAAAAATGTGCTAATTAGCATTGTGTTAATTGTTTGCACATTTTTTGTAGGGTGAATTTTTTTTCTTAAGTTCCGTGATTCGCACTTGGACTTTAATTAGTTGAGTTATGCTTTGAATTTCATGTACTAATTGGTTTTGATAACGATAATAAAAAAATTTTCATTTCATGTGATAATAACAGATTTATATAATCTATTATTTGACCTAGATACTTTATTTTATTATTATTTTTTTAGTAAAATAAATATGAGGTAGAGATTAAAACTTTTAATTTTTAGAAAGAATGAGTAGATGCTTTTAACTTAGGTTAATAACCCAGATATTAATTGAATTATAATTAAAAAACAATCAGTGATTAACTTAGATATTAATGGATCACCATAACCTAGTTGAGATACGTATGTTATACTTTTATATTTGCACTATTTTATATTGATATTGTTGATGCAAAAATTTACCAAGGCACGGATGACGATCTGGGAGGTCGGCTGGCAACCCTTAGAGCGATCTTGGGGTACCTGCAAGGAGATAAGCCACTCCGACGCCCAAGTTAATGTATAATCTGAGCTCAACAGATTAGCATCAGACAGATTTTCATTCGTACCTGGGTATGGTTCGTGGTGGTGTATTTATAGTAGTACTGGAAAGGGGTAGATAGCTCGGGCAAGGTTCCCCCGAGCGACCTTCAATTCTCGCTACTGACCGGTCCGTTCCTTGTCACGGCCGATGGCTCTAGTTGTCAGGCCTTTCATGCCGTTTCAGGTCGGTAGAAGCATGAATCGAGAACAAGTCAGTTGTCCACAGCCTGACCCTCCAACAGATTTTTTTGAAACATTTCAACTAATTAGCCATGAATAATTAGTCCTTGTAAAAAACAATAGGTTACTCTCCAAAATATCTAAGCTTTTACATCTTGAAAATTTGATATAGACAACAATTGAAAAATTCAGCCAAAGAGAGAGTAGTTGTGGAATTTTGGCGGGCTTTCAGGTAAGGGAAAAAGAAAAAACAAAAAGCCAAGGACAAGTGTAATTTAAGGTGAGGACAAGTAAACGGCACCTTTGACTAATGAAAATGACAAAATTTTGTCATCAAGTTTATGAGCATTTTGAGAATTCTACGCATTCTTAGGGGCGATTGGTTAACTAGTGATATGAAGATAGAAATTTGAACGTAAATAATTTAATGAAAAATAAGTTTTATTACATGTTACAATATTTTCGAATATATGTCTGGTAACAGATTTTGAAATTGAATCTTAACTTAAAAAGTTATTTAATGTATATTTAGTAATATATATATATATATATATATATATATTATATAAATCTATTTGATATAATATATCCGAAAACAAAAAATAGAATGCATATAAAATATGTCCTTATTTTTTAAAGGTGTAATAGGACACTAATGAAGGCACCGCTGTCCTTAACACATTTTTTTTTCCAACTCTTTGTCGAGATTGACACTTTCTTAACGAGGGGATGAAAATAAATCATATGG